ACATTAAAAATCATTACTAGAGTTGTAAATCTTAAAACTGGATGGCAGGAACATTGAAAAAATTAATATTCTCTTCTATTATCATATACAAAAATAAAAAAACTAAAAATCTAAGAAATCTAATGTTTCTGAAATAAAGCTCTCATACAACTAAGTGTTCAAAAACTAATTTTTAGACCGTAACTATGCCAATAACTTATATTCCGCTTGTTTATCATAAGTAAAAAGGTACGCATACAAAAACAAAAACATCGAATGTTTCTAAAACATAGGTCTCATACAACTGATTATTCGAAAACAAGTTTTTAGACCGTAACTATTCCAATAAAATACCCAGATGGCTGGAAACTTATATTCCGTTTGTTTATCATAAGTAAAAAGGTACGCATACAAAAACAAAAACATCGAATGTTTCTAAAATAAAGCTCTCATACAACTAAGTGTTCAAAAACTAATTTTTAGACCGTAACTATGCCAATAAAATACCGAGATGGCTAAAAACTTATATTCCATTTGCATATCATAAATAAAAAGGTACCCTTGCAATAGCAAAAACAACAAATTGTTCGAAAATGTGATTTTATATCACAACATTTACTAATATGCAGTGAGGTTTATGAAAATTGGTTTTCTGTTTGATTATAATTAACAAAAACTTTAGAACAAAAATTCTCAAGTCAACCTATGAAGAACAAAGAAAAACATACATACTTATGGAACACATTAAGGTGATTTTTTTTTGAATATTAAAAATGCCAATAACAGATTTAACCGGAAGCGCGGCCAAAAATTTGCCGCCTGACGCTGTTCACAGGAATATTTAAGACCAGTGTCCACGGAGACAAACAAAGCTTATGCTTATCTGAGCACAAGAATACATACTTTGACACTATTGCCCACTGTTTTTGTTTTTGTTGTTATTAGAGATCATCAACATCAACACTGAAGTAGCTTGGTGTCTTACACTGCCTTGAACTTAAAAGCGGAAAATAGTGATTTCTTTTTGTTGTTGTAAGCAGTTGTAATGTTTTTGTTGTTTGTACTACTGTCGGTGTTATTGACACTGATTGGATTAGGTTTGTTGAGTTTGAAGTGTGCTCAATTCAAATTACATATACACACAACACACACACACATACACACACTTACATATACTTTCATGCATACACATATACATACGTATAAAAAGTGTTTGTTAGCGTTAGAAATTTGCTTTTAATTATATTTAACTCGTATTTACTTTGAACTGTGTGCGAGAATGTCGTATGTGTACTGGCCGTAAGCAAGCAAAATGTGGCAAATAAAAAGAAAAAAGAAAAAAAATGACTCAAGTGCACTTTCAAACGACGAGCTCTTGAAATTGCTGAGTGTTATTTAAACTTGAGAGTTGCAATAGTTTAATTGAGTGCTCAGTGCTACTTAAGCGTAGTTATTCACTTCTTTTTACATTCATAATAAATATTTAATTTTTCGCAAATATACATATATATATTTATTGTAAAATATTTTTTTTTGGTATAAAATCGAAATTAATTTTTGTTTTGAGTGATTTTCTGATGTAACTCCTGTGGAACGTTATCCTGATATGCAACATCATCTAGTCGCCAAAGTGTCCAAGCACAGTAAATTGAAGTCCCCGCAAGATTAAAGGCTCACATTACCACCGCCCAAGAAGTGCGATGGACGGAATAAGGACGGGGACTAGTAGCAGGTCATTGTGTCGTTTACTACAGCATCTAGATGGACGTATAAAAGAGTGTAAATTTGGCATAGGATTTATTTAGGAGAGAAACTTCGTAGACGAGCCCTGGACTTCACGCCACAGTCCGCATCAAAGCGAAGTTCTTCAGCATATAGCTGATTTGCGCTACGTTTCGTCAATGTAAACAAGGATGCTTTATATGAGTGCCCGGAGCGTCGTTGTTGAAACTGTGCTTAGCGACTTAAACGTAAGGGTCACCAAATAAGCTATTTTTTATGCGAATGGGTTGAGGCTGATCGACTTCGCCGGTGCTAGAAAAATGGTCGCCAGTAGTACTAGATTCCATATAAGAAAACCTCACAACCGGATCAATGATGTTATGATAGACGGACGACCGACATGTCTCCACTGTTTTTGATGTTTGTACGCTTCGAAGACCCAAAATCGACTCAGACCGACTATCGTGTAGCAGCAAAGATATGCAGCTATCTGCGTGCAACAAAGAACGTCTGACGAAAGACAGCTCAAATCACAAAAGACAGCCGAATGAGTTGCCACCTGACTAGCACACTCATTCGCCTCTCAATATGAGGGAGCAGTGGAATGGCGTCTCAAACTCCTTACGTACCGCCGCCATGTAAACAATTGCTTTACGGCAGTGCCAGAAAAAGAGCTGGTACTATGAGGAATATCGCACTGCAGTGGATCCCACGGTCTGCAAAAATTAATCACCGAGGGATATATAAGCTGATCTCGAGAGTATTTTATGAAAGACTAAGACCCACCGTCAACAGGCTGATTGAAACTTAACTGATAAGATCCAATCTTACAACTACTGGCGTATGCCTTAACAACCGCACCGTTAGTTCTGCCTTTTCCAAGTTTAACAAAGAAGCGAAGTCAAGAACGGCCAAATATCTTCTGTCAGCAAACAAACAGTCGGTGCATTTACGGCTTGGCTTCAACATCACTGTTGATAGTCACAACCTCGAGGTCGTAGATAATTTCGTCTACCTAGGGACCAGTAACAATACCAATAATAATGTCAGCCTTGAAATCAATCCAATATAGAATATCTCTTGCCAACAGGCTTTGGGCTGAGAAGGCAATTGAAAAGTGCAGTTCTCTCTCGACGAACCAAAATTAAACTCTAAAAGTCTCTCATAATTCTCGTCCTATTACTATTATATGGCGGACAATGTCGATATCCGATGAGGTGGCCTTGGGAGTCTTCGAGAGAAAAGTTTTGCGAACGATTTATGGTGCTCTGCGCATTGTTACTGTGCTACATATATTGCGACATTGACATAATTCAGTTGCTACGTAGGTAAGGCCATGTTGTCCGAATGGATGAAAGCACTCCAGCTTTAAAAGTAGTCGATGCAGTACCCGAACTTAAAAGTAAAGGAAGAGGAAAGCCCCCACTCCGTGGATAGCTAACTGGTTTCACTTCGTATTTCCAACTGGCGCCAAACAGCGATGAGAAGAACCGAATGGCGCGCTAATGTTGACTCGGCTCTAATCGCGTAAGCGGAGCCCACGCCAATGAAGGGGAATGAAATTGGTCAAGTAAAAAGTTCTTTCGTTTTTTATCTAAGAGATGACGTTATTGTCTATAATACTAGTGTTACGTGTCGCATCATGTCATACTATACGGCGCTGGAAACGTATTTGTTCGCGCTAAAAGTTTGTCTTTGACAGTAATAATGGACCGAATTTCCATCCGCGAATTACTGCTGAATCTTAACATAATCGACCCGTTTCTGAAGCAGATTGTGACTGGCAATGAAAAATGGGGCATTTACGACAACATCGAGTGCAAAAGGTCGTGGTCAAAGTTCGGGGAAGCGGCCCAGACGGTGACCAAGGCCGGATTGACGTCCACCAAGGTTTTGCTGTGTGTTTGGTGGGATTAACAAGGAACCATCATTGCCCTATAAAAGCAGGTCTGTATATGACTGCCCATATGCTTCGAAAATTTCACAAAAGCATACAGAAACCAAGCCAATACTTTGATCTATCAACAGATCTTAACTCTGATAAAATTAATTTTGGGTTTACATTTTGCAGAGTCATTTTTGAAAAGCTTTAATTCTCGGTCACTCATATAAATGGATTTTTCGATTCGATTTTAGCAGAAGCTTTAACGATATATTGCTTGCAGACTACATTATGCTACAGAAGGTTAATTGTGTGCAGCGGCATTAAAATTATTTCCAAAGCAATACACAAAAGAGATTTCCGCATATTTTTCCCTAAGAAGCTGTATAGTGCATGAAAGCTTATTCCCATCCATAATCGGCATTGACTGCAAAGCGTAACGAATGCGAAGTTGAATAAACTAAGAAACTAATTTTACAATACATACTCGTGTGCATACACATACACATGTGTGTTGTACCTAATTTCATTGACACATCGTTAATCTGCTCAATTTGTAAACATTTCTGGATTGCGCAGCGCTGCAATGGATTTCGTGAAAAGAAAGAGTGACGCATACTAAGCAGAATTAAGAACAAAAAGGCACACAGGTAGATTAAAATACAATAACAAAAGTATACATTGGGTTTTTGTATATAATAAGAATATACCCTGTAGTGAAAAGTCAAACTTGTATTAAAAGAAAAAAAAACTTCTATTTAAAAACTAGTATTTTAAAGAGGAAATAATACCAGTCAGCATTTTGTTCGCGAATCTCTCAGTTCGTTAAAACAAAGTCGCGATAACCGAGTGATTGAAAGCTGTAGAATGAACTAGTATTTAGCTAGTATGAAGCTGATGACAGCGCCATGGAAAATCTTCCATGAACTAGTTGGCGCAAAAAATGAAACTAGTAACATTCTAGTAAACAGCTACTATATTTTTCTGCAGGCCATGCCTGCAATAAGACTTAAATTCGAAAATCAAAAAAGCACAAAGAAGAAAGCAGAAGTTGTCGGCTTAATGTCATCGTAAAAAGCTACAGCATTCTTTTTTCGCAACGCGGCAGATGTAGAAACAGCGCAGATAATCTGATCAACGCGTGGCATATGAAATGGCGACGATGAGTGAAGAGTTGTTGAACTGACGTGCTGCATACATATACTCGTAAGCGTAATGAAATGACAATGAAAGGAAAGGCGCATTCGCTCCATGTTTTCAATGTGTACAGTTGTAAAACAACGTACGTGTTGTAGACGCATCGCGGCGCTTTCACCTTCATATGAAAAATTAATACAAGAATTTGTAGGAGTGTATGCTTGAGCGCTCAATAAAATCCATATGAGAACGTTAGCCAGAACGTTTTTGAATGAGCGCATTGCCAACGACGCGACGACACCGTCGAAGCGCATGGACCAGCAGATATGACGGTTGCTGGCAGATACGGCGCATCGTCGAGATCATACAGTTCAGTTGAGAACAAAGAGTGGCATTGACACGAAGTGCCTGCAGTTTGTTTGGCTTGATAAAAGCGAAGAAGGAATTCAATTTGTGTATTGATATTGAAAAATCGTTGAAGTAAACGCGTCGTGCACTCTAGTGTATAAACTACGTCGTATTTCATTGCAAAAATGGTGCGCGCGCATAATTACATTTTAATTTACGGCATTTCTATATTAAATCATGTATGCGCCGCCACTGCGCTGCCCTCTACCACTAAAGCTGCGAGTGCGAAAGATATAGATGCGTTATACATGGAAAAACTCTTGGCTAATTTGAATACCAGCGTTGATCCATGCGTGGATTTTTATACATACGCGTGTGGTAATTGGGCGCAACACTATGATAATAGCGCGTATGTCGATGTGCCCGGCTATATGGATTTCGAAGTGAATAAACAGTTGTTAAATGCCTTGCTAGCGGCTAATGAAACAACTAATGGGAGTGATGTGGCGCAACAGGCCGTGCGTTACTATGAATCGTGCGTAAATCTGGAGGCACCCGCATTGAATGCATTTCTACGCTACGTTCAAAAAACATTAAACTTTGAATGGCCTATATTGCGCGCCAATTGGCAACGACCTTGGCAGAATGACACAGAATTTGATTGGTTGCGCGTGGTAGGCGGCTTACGTGCTTTTGGGCTTAGTGGTGTATTCATAATGCAGGATTTGAATCTTCGAACCACCAATAGCACTCAATATCTGCTTGAATTGCATGCGCCGCAAGCGGCTGCCGCATTGCCAACAACACAAATCTTGCGGCTGAAGTCTATTGAAGACATATTTGTAAATTTCGGCTTGACCGAGTTGGAAGCGCACAACGTGAGTGCTAAGGTCATTGCGCTGGATGAGGCAATCAATGAAGCGCTCAATATTGGTGCGTTAATGAACGCGTCCAACACTTTTAACGCAAGCATTGGTAATTTAACACGCACCAATGTAACCAGCTTAGAGATGAATGTTGGCGATTTAGTGGAATTAGTACCAGAAATTGATTGGCGTACATATTTGCAACACGTGCTAGGGCGCACAGTGGATTTAAACCAACAACTAGTGCAAACATACTCCATTGACTTGCCCTACTTTCGTCAGCTACCCGCGCTACTCGCCGCGCACACAAATGAAACGATCGCTTACTATATAATGCTGAAATTTATGTACCAACTGAACGCTGACTTGCCGTATAACATGACAGATGCACAAAAGTCTACACATTGTATGCGTTTACTGCGTGGCTATATGCCGCTAGCGGCCAACTATTTGTATGAACAGCACTACTATAGACATAGACGCGCGGCCAGCGATGCCGCGCTGCAACGCATGTTCAACAAATTACGTGCCAATTTTGCGCAGCTAGTGGCCGCCAACAATTTAAAGCTGAATGCGACGGAGCGCGCTTACATACTTGCAGAGCTGGATGGCATGCAATTGCGTATAGGCAATGTGCCGCACGACGCGTCTCTGAATTTAACACACTTCGTTGGCGCGTACTACGCGCATGTGCACATGAATGCAAGCGACTTTTATGGCAACCATCTGCAGCTGATACACAGCAGCGTGCGACGCATGCAGGTGAAATTGTTGAATGAACCGCGCACAGCTAATGTGTCAGCGCAGCTGAAGCAAATATACGAGTATGATTTCGAGACGTCGACTTCTTCGTCGCCAATTAAGATCTTTGATAATGTGGTGCTTGTGCCGTATGGTTATCTGCAGCTGCCGTTATACGATCACCGCCTCGACGCATTATTGCAGCATTCGCTCTTCGGTTTCATTCTGGCGCATGAGATTATGCATGCTTATGATCTCTTCCACATTGTCTACGATCAAAATGGCAATTTTAATCGACTTGGCTTAGATGTGGCGCAGCATTATTGGGGTTTCATCAACTGCACACGACAGACGGTGTTGAGTGACATCGTGTCCGAGAACATGGCCGATGTGGCGGGCTTGCGTTTGGCATATCAAACTTATTTCGGGCAAGAGGATAGCGCTGGAGAAGCTGATAAATCAGCTAAAGTGGAAACAACCATTACAGCAGGCGTAAAAAGCACCACCATAACTAGCCGACAAGCAACACTTGCGGATGCTCATAATGATATAGCCGGCAGAAGAGCTACTCCCTCAACGCCACTCATTAGCGTCGCTCGCGAAACGCCACTTAAGTACGGTAATTTCACGCGTCCACAGCTCTTCTTCATCAACTCGGTGCAGTTTTTGTGCGCCAACATGCCGCGCATCGAGGCGCTCAATGTTCAAGCGCATCAACTCGGCCATGACATGCATGACGTGCGTGTACGACGTAATTGGGCGAATTTGGAGCATTTTGCGGCTGCATTTCAGTGTGCACCTGACACGCCGATGAATCCGAGCGAGAAATGTCGGTGGTGGTGAAGTGCTTAACGAGCGCGCCAGCTTGATGACATGGACGTATGCGGTTGTCCACGATGGTGGTGGTGGTGATGCGGCGCGTCGCTCATAAGCGGATTACAATTTACTACTACTTTTAATATTTAGTTCTACATTATACATCCCATACACATACATACATGTGTACATATATAATAAATGTGCGCCTTAATGTAGTTCGTTATTTAGTTGCCTTGTGGTAAAATTTACGTATTATGTTAATGACAAATTTTGTGCTTATTTTTTTTGTAATTCTTTTTCATTTTTAATATTATATATGTACGAGTAAATGTAAAAAAAAAACACTTAATGTACTTATCGTTATATTCTAACAACTATAATCGTATGTGTGTACTTATATATAGATATAAATATACACACAGAGTGAAATCTAGTTTATTTTCTTACACTTGACCGCCTAAGTGTATGCAATGAATTCTTAACATGCCACATGTTGCAAAATTGTTAAATATTGTTTGTTGTTGGTGGTAATGGCTTGTGGCGCTTACCTTTTGTTTACGCTTGGCTCGCTTTTAGTTTTGAGTTGTACTTAGTTTCGAAAATGTTTCTGCAAACAAAAGAAGAATTATGAAATTAAAATACTGGAAAATAGTTTATTTTGTGGTTTGGTTAAAATGGTAAGGTTTATGACTAAAAATAAATAATGAATTTTAAATAAGAAGTTTGTTTGGATTTTTTTTTATTTTAAATTTTTTTTTTGTTTTGGTTATGATTTTTATATTTCGGGATTGGAAAACAAATACAAAAATGCATCGAAAAACGCTTTAAAGTTTTTCAAAATATTCTCCATTAAGATCTTTTGCATGCGTTTGAACCGATTCTCGAAGTTTTTTTCTGATTGAGTTATTCCAAAACATGCATTCCGAGCGCATCAACCGCCTCCACAGGTGTAGAAAAATGTTGAGCTCTCAGATTATTTTTTACTTATGGGCATAAAAAGAAGTCATTCGTTGGTAAGTCTGAACTATGCGCGTGATGACCTATTGAATCAATGTTTTGAGGGCTCAAAAATGCAGTTATTTCATAAGAGTAAATTGTCTAGTCCGATAAGAAACCCGTACCATGAGCTCGCTTCACAAATTATGCCGTAAACTGCTTAGTAATTCAGTTATTTCACCCGAATTGCGTGCGTTCGATGGTGACAGTGCCGTTAGTTTGTCTGCCTTTTCATTTTCTCCTGTTTGTGTGATCTGAAAACCCACCAAATTGTCCGTCAGAAAGCTAACAGATTAAATACATTCATTAAAGAGAATTCCCACAAATTCTTATTAGAAGATAGAGTTGCAGTTATTGAGTTTAAAACTATCTCGGTTACTGGAATGCTTAAGAAAGAACCCTGCTCCCGTGTTTGCCTTACATTTAAAGCCATCAGTTTATGTATATTAATATTTTCACAACTACTATAGTGTTGTAGAGAAGCAGTAAGTGGCATTCATCAGGCCCATGCCTTTGGGTTTATACCGAGATCTGTTTCTGGGACATGTTTAAAGTAGGACCAGTAAAGCGCTTCAAATTTGGAATATCTGCAGTAGAGCTATTGCACCAAAATTCCCATTTCAGCGTTTCCAGGTACTTTTTGACCACTTTTGCGACGTTAGGCCGAGCATTGTCGTGTTGGAGGATGACTTTGTCATGTTGCTCTTGATATTGTGGCCGTTTTTCTTTTAGCGCGCGACTAAGGCGCATCAGTTGCGTTCGGTAGCGATCTCCTGTGATGGTTTCACCCGGTTTTAAGAGCTCGTAGTAAATCTTTGAAGGTTTCTCTTCCACCACCATGTTTGTCTTCGACATCGAAATCACCATTTTTAAAACGTTGAAACCACTCCCGAGACATTCTTTCACTCACAGCTTCAGCTGCATTTTTTTCGAATTGTAACAGAAAAGTAAAACTTCCCGCAAGTGGGGAGAATTGGGCACATAAACGGACATTTTCGAGCGTGAATAATACGAAACGGCGTTGACAATTCGTTAGGCACTGTTCACACTCACTTTAAAGGCATTATCATCTAAGTATTTCAACCAGCCTCAGCCGGTACAGCCACCTATCGGAAAACGGCGGAAGCAAAGTTGTACACCTGACTTATGGCACGCAACTTTTTTTAAGTATGGAAATTTTAGCGGAACATTATTTTGCTCTTGATAGAATACCCCATTTGGTAGCGCCCAAGGACCAACGCATCTATCCAAAGTGTGTTAGAGCCTAACCTTCCTTTTTTCTTCTTCTTCTTTATTGGCGTTGGCACCGCTTACGTAATTATAGCCGAATCAATATTAGTGCGCCATTAATCTCTTCTTTTCGCTGTTTGGTATCAGTTGGAAATACCAAGTGAAGCTAGGTCGTGCTTCATGCTTCTTAAACTATTGTATATTATTGAAACCTTTCAGCTATCCTTGATCAAGTGGTGGTATAACTTTTTCATGGCGGCAACCCATCGAGTCGAGGTGGAAGGGAAAATATCTTTTCTGGTTCAAAAGACGTCGTATTAATAGTATAATTTTTAGTCTACTTCAGATTTTTTTAAGTTTTCTGGCGCTCTGTTAACTTAGTAAGACTGGAACTGAAGATTAGATTTGTCGTTATTATCGGTCAAAAATAGAAGCTCATTATATGGGAGGTTGGTCTATTTTTGGAAAGATGTATGTCAATAATGGGATTTTAGTTACCCTTAAAAGTAACATACCCAACGAGTTTGGTTAAGTTCTGTTGAGGAAATGATCAATTTAGAGCAAAGCGCGATTCGATATAAGGAACAAAGGCGCACTTATTGACTGATTGAAGCCATATTTAGCTTGTGATCAGGCGGATGGACCGGCAGATATGACTATATGGATTTGTATCGTCACTTCAAGAATATATTTTTTATACATGCACGTATATACAGGGAGCGCCATCTGTATGAGGTCAATGGAAATGTTGAATAATTTGAAAAATTTTCAAAGAATTTTGACCAACTTTTTTTAATTATCAAATTTGAAGCCTTACAACTTTTTCCAGCTAGATTCGGAATACAACGTCAATCAAATGACTCCCTTCATTGCGTAAACAAAACTTCGCATTTTTTACCGTTATTTTCCCTGACACTCGCCAGCATCACGATTGTTGTTCTTCAGTTCGTCTAAGTGTGACATGTTGCGCCATCTTGTCGGAACCAAAAATATTTCAGACATCTTTTACGCATCGCTGGTAAAATTGTAAAAACTTTGTTGGAGCAACTGAACATTGTAACTATTTCCGCACGTTCTTTGAACGTAAAGTGATATATGGCTGAAATTGTTTTGGAATAATCTTACCAAAAGGCTTTTATTGCACGAAATCGTTTGAAATCTGTCAAAGTTATTAAATGTTTCTATTGGATATACGTTCATAAAACTATTACCTGAACAAATCTAATAAAATATATATATAATATATATATATATATATAATATATAAGTCACGCTTTGTAACCGCTGGAGCGATTTTCGGCCGAAAATCTAATATACTCTGTGTACATTGTAGAGCTCTAGATACCCGGGTATCGAGTAGTGCGAGCAGTTCTATACAAAATTTCTTTATTCATAGACGAAAAATGCTTCGAAATGCTTGAAAAAGCTGAAGGTAGCGCTCGTAAATTTTCGAGCAAGAGCAATGCACAATTATGCGAGTATTCGCTGCTGAAATGCTCCAGCTGTGCGAAAATGTGCGAGCACAATCTTGAGATGTAGTACATACTACAATAGACCTCGAGTATTAAAATCGAATGCATTCTCGAATTGAAAGGCTGTTTTTTGGAGAGGTCTTTCTCATAGCAAATAAAGCTAATGGAACTTGCGATATTCGTATTTTATATTATTTTCTGTGTAAAGTGGCCTAAAAATTAATGAAAGAATATATCGATTTTTCCATAAAATCATAGCAGTAAAAAAATTCAAGCCAAATTAATTTTTAAATACTTCGGGTGACACAGTCTAGCCGTTGAATTGTGTAATTATGCAGTCTATACTGGTAATTTAAGTTAAATTTTAAGTGCAACGAAATACCGATTAACACACACACGCACACACACTTTCGCATATGCCAACATATCCTTAGTGCTTTAGTGAATACTCGAAAACATTGCAACTTCTGCAGGTGAATGCCAAGAAACAAACTTCAACTGCAACTCCATTTGTACACACAGCTATTTATTTGTGTATACAGTTGCGAAATTGCATTTAATTCAATCAGGTGCACAAGTTTTTAGTTGGCGAAAAAGTTCAATTTATCTTAATATTCTCTTTTAACAAAAAGTCTGACAACCAGATTGGGCGTGTTGTGCGAGAGAACTTTGTATTGCATTTAAATAAAGTTGAAATTGTGTTGGTAATTTGACAAATTGCTCGAGTTGCAAGTTGAAAAGGTAAAACAAATACATACGAATACCGGCAATAATACACACATACATATACATAAACATACGCACGCACTAGTGTATATGGATTGTATATATGCGAAAAAGTCAATTACTCTCTTGACCCTTTTTAGGTCGTTACAGCTTTTATCGGCAGCCGTTGGCAACTAAAAATGCAACACTGCACTACTTTTGACATTTACCAAATTACGGTAAATCCTATACACAACCGTAACTGGCGTGCTATGTACATATGTAGGGTCTGTGGCTTTGATTTTGCCAAAAGTGTGTGTCTCCTTTATGTAGGTACGAGGTGTGATCAGAAAATAACGGTTATTTTAAATTTTTTTTTAAGTATTTATTTATTCATCAATAATTATCTTGCCCGCTTCAAAGTAATCTCCCTCAGATATAATACACTTATGCCAGTGTTTTTTTCCAATCCTCGAATCATTTCTGAAACGCGTTTTTTGGTATCGCCAATCGATTTTTCCCTTATCTCCTCAATCGTAGCAAAACGCTTTCCTTTCATCGGTCACCTCAGCTTTGGGAAGAGGAAAAGTCAGCGGGGACTAAGTCGGATGGATACAGTGGTTATCATGGTGCAAAATCCATTATTGATTTTTCTGTGGGTTTGTGACGACATGCTTTACGCGTAACTCCTATTGTAGGTAGTATTCCTTATTGATCGTACGACCTTGGGGCAAGAATTCGCGTTGCACCACGCCAAACCAGTGAGCAAAACCTTCACATTTGACCGAACCGGGCGAACAGGACGAGCATTGTCATTGACATCTACTCAGCCTTTCTTAAACCGGTTATACCCTAATTGAACTTGTGTTTTGTTCATAATAGACTCGCCAAACGAAATACTCAACATTTCAAATTTCCTTGCGGAGTTAATTTAATTTTTTATACAAAATTTAATACAGTTTCTTTGTTCCATTTTTTCAATAGTAAAAAATCGAAGAGCACAGAAAAACACGACTAATCTTTTCATCTGTCAAAAACAAACTGACACGAAATTTAAAAATAACATACATTATCTGATCACACCTCGTACATATGTATGAGTTTTGCCAGAAATTGTTGCCGGCTGCGGTAAAAATCAATAGACAGCACCAAAAATGTAATAATAATGTAATTAATAAGAAAGCTTTTGACTTTTGATTGTTAT